TACCAATTTATTTACATATATTTAATAAATTTCTTAAAAAATAAAAACTACCCAAACCGAATAATATAATTAAATATATTACAATAATTAGTAATAAAAACGTGCAGGTTGTAGGAAGTCCTTTATTGGAGAGTTTACACCATTTTGTACTTTTTTGTAATCATAGCCACCATTTGGTGCCAGACCATCCAATGAGCCAATCACTGATTTTACAGGAAGTATACCTTGATCTAAAAATTCACTGGTGCCACCTAAACTGTCATATTGTTCTGAAAAGTATTAATAAAAATTGAAGTAAATATAAAACATATATTATAGATATTTAATAATCTTTCTATTTCTGAATAAAAAGAAACTATTGTTTTAATGGAGAGATATTTTGAGCAATAGTGAATAACAACAACAAAATTTTATTATTTGTTAGTTAATTGAATTTTAGTTGACCAAACAGCTGTTTCGTTTTGCCAAATGCTCATCATCAATGGTCTTTTGAAAATATTTCTTAATTAATTCATAATTATTCACTTAACTATTTGTAACTAATTTTTTGAGACTGCAAGTACCAACGATTGAACTTGTGCCCTGCCAAATTTGAAGCTCAAAGTCAGTCTTCATTAGCCAACTGACCCAAAACCGTACTTGATTTATATGTGTTAACTTGGGATTTTGTTAATTCACTAAGAAAATGAACAAATTTACTTGCTGTGTTATATTACAATGAAATCATAAACCCGCTATAGACTAATTTAATTAATGAATTATAGTTGTTTTTAATTAATTAATTGATTTTTTTACTAAGCACAGATTTTCGAACTTTACCTTGAATTTCCTTTTGAGCAGCACTTGCTTCCTCCTGAGTTTTATATTTAATGAAAAACACCTCTGGCTTGGGTGCTTGTGTTGGTGGAGGTGTAGCTATATCTCCGACATTAACTTCATTATCCTTTTTACTTAGTACATAGATCACAGTCTTTTCTTCTTGTGGCGCATATTCTGCACTTAGTTTTAGATTAGTATTTTGCGATGAAGGTGCTTTGATAAATACAACACGATAATTTTTCTGTGGACGTCCAATTACAAAATGTTTCGTTTTTTGTACTTCCTCAACTTCATCTGGTGCCGAAACCAAGTAAAATTGCTTTGTGATTATCGGTGCAAGTGTTGTAGTTTCTGGTGGTAAATATTTGTCACCATTAAACTGTTGACTATTACCCTTGTGTTCCGTTTGAAATGGTACCGACAAGGAATTGCTAAGCGCTGGTGTATTGAAGAAACTGTGGCTTTCCTTATTAACTACGCTATTCCCAATAGTATTGCTTACCGCTGGTGTGTTGAAGAAGCTATTGCTTTCCTTACTAGCTACGCTATTTCCATTGGAGTTGCGTTCGTAATGATAACCAAAATGTGGTGCTGCTCTGGCCACTGCAGCGAGTAAAGCAAAAGTGTAGATCGTAAGGATTTTTGCCATAATTTCTTCGAGTTGTTAAATGCTTCAAAAATTTTTCTAAACTGTTGTTGATTTTTGACTGACATCTGCCATTTATATAATTAATTAAAATATTATGATTTTATTTTAAAGAAAATTTTATATATAATATATAAAAAATTGCATAAATTAAAATTTTGTTAATTGTTGGGAAAATGCAGAAATCAGAGCGGACGTTGCTTCAGCAGATTTGCCGTATTAACGGTTTACTTAAGCTTAAATGCGATCATAAAATTTTTTCTCAAGTTAGCAAATTAGTTCAATGTCAGTAGTGCTAAGTTGTGTTAAGTTTTCTTTCAGAAGACTGAGACAATTAGTTGTTTTTATTTTTTATTTTTTTTTTTTGTATAAAAAAGTTATTTTTATTAGTTAGTGGGTGCTCATTGTAATTCATTAACTTCAGATCTAAAAACAAAAGACTTAGAAAAATATTTAGATTGGATAATCCGCACTTCAACAAGTTTTTGTCTTAAGTCTCTTGTTATCTTTATAATTGCTCATGTTTTGAAAATTAATTGAGCATGAAAGTATGCTCTTTTGTAATTTTATTGTATATATAGTAGTAGATCTAATATGTTAAATGAACATATATTTCATTTTATAACCAAAACTTGTTACTTTAGTTAGAGAAAAATGGAAAAATTTTAATGAAGGAACTCTCTTGAATTTAGTGTTATTCGGTTAGGTATATTGTGAAGACAAGCTTTGAAATTTGTGTTTTATTACTATTAAAAATTATTTTATTTTATTTTTTTATGTTTTATATTCCCAAATAAATATGAAAAAAATTAACGCTGAGTAATTTATGGCCCAATGTTCCCCTGGGAACGTACTGGAATGAATAAATAGCGCTGAGTAATTAAATAAAATAAGATTCAAAGCAAGAAAAGACATTTTGCAATATCTTGCAACAAAACAAAAAATATATATAACTGAAAAATGATTAGTATACAAATACAGAATACTTTCGTTAAAAGTTAAACACAATAATTTAAACCACGCTGTGATATAGACATCGTATTTATCTCTATAATCTGGATAACGTGATGACCCGGACATCACAATATTTTACTCAATTCATAATGTTATTTCCATCTTTTCCATTTATAATAAATTTATAATTCGACGAAGTTCGATATAAGTTTCTCTCGGCAGTTCCTACATTACTAATTATCGGAAGCATACTGTATTTAAAATAGTTTCTTAACCAAAATACTTGTGAACATTAATGCTAGCACATGTTTAACAAACTACTTCAATAGCGTATGTACTGCAAACAACATAGCCTAAAAGAAGACTCTTCAGAATGATTAAAAGGGGTATTCAACGGTCTAGCATAATTTCTTAAGTGGCTCTGATTCGTCAACAAAACAAAAGATTAAAATCTTTACGAGGTATCTCAATGAGTATTTGCAAACAAATACTTGCATATCATTGGGTTCTACCATCTTTTATTAAATTGCTCAATACAGAAAGAATTTAATAAATGTTTGTTTGATATCAACGATATGACCTAGTTCTTTAGATATGCCGAATGAGGCATCTGAAGCTCTTCGCCTGGAGAGCTCGTTTGTCTTGCAGTTGGTTCCCTTGTAATCGGGTACCCATAGTAGACAAATGTTAAACTGTGTCAACTTTTCAAATTACATTTCAAATGTAAATTGGACTGCACTCAAGGACTTCAAAGATCCTCTCCTGTTGAGGGACTACTGAAAAGTTCTAACAATGAAATACATGTACTTGAAATATATTTTGTTTTTTCAGCTTTGCAATAGTACTATGCCATTCGATTTCTAAGCTCATTACACAAAATCGTGAATGCTCTTAATATTTATATAAAACTTTTATATAAACATACATATAAATGTATCAATTTGATTATTATAAACACTTCTGTGAAGTGTTAAATGATTGTCTAGTCTTTAATAAAATATTAAATATTATTATTTCATCATTTATTATTCATCATATATTATTTACCATTACCATTTATTTATCATTTATTATCTATCATTTATTATTTATCATTTATTATTTATCATTTTTTATTTATCATTTTTTATTTATCATTTATTATTTATCAATTATTATTTATTATTTATCATTTCCTATTTATCATTTGTTATTTATCATTTATTATTTATCATTTTTTATTTATTATTTATTATTTATCATTTCCTATTTATCATTTATTATTTATCAATTATTATTTATTATTTATCATTTATTATTTATAATTTGTTATTTATCATTTATTCCTTAGCATTTATTATTTATCATTTTTTATTTATTTATTTTATTTAGTCCTTAATAAGATATTAAAAATTATTATTTCATCATTTATTATTTATCATATATTGTTTACCATTTATTGTTTATTATTTATAAGTTTTTAGTTATCATTTATTCTTTATCATTTCCTATTTATCATTTATTATTTATCATTTATCATTTTTTATTTATCATTTATTATTTATCATTTATTCTTTATCATTTCCTATTTATCATTTATTATTTATCAATTATTATTTATTATTGATCATTTATTATTTATCATTTGGTATTTATCATTTATTCTTTATCATTTCTTATTTATCATTTATTCTTTATTATTTATTATATATGATTATTTATCATTTATTATTTATTATTTATCATTTTTTATTTATCATTTATTATTTATCATTTATTCTTTATCATTTATTCTTTATCATTTCCTATTTATTATTCTTTATTATTCATTATTTTTGATTTATATTTTGTCACTTATTATTTATCATTTATTATTTATTGTTTATCATTTATCATTTATTATTTATTATTTATCATGTCCTATTTATCATTTATTATTTATCATTTATTCTTTATCATTTCCTATTTCTCATTTATTATTCATCATTTATTCTTTATCATTTCCTATTTCTCATTTATTATTCATCATTTATTCTTTATTATTCATTATGTATGATTATTTATCATTTATTATTTATCATTTTGTATTTATCATTTATTATTTATCATTTAAGTTTTATCACTTATTAATTATCATTTATTCTTTACATTTCCTATTTATCATTTATTATTTATCAATTATTATTTATCATTTATTATTTATCATCTATTTCTTACCATTTATTATTTATAATTTATTATTTATCATTTATTATTTATTATACATTTATTCTTATATATCATTCATTATTTATCATTTATTATTTATCATTTATTATTTATCATTTATTCTTTATTATTCATTATTTATGATTTATATTTTGTCATTTATTATTTATCATTTATTATTTATTGTTTATTATTTATTGTTTATTATTTATCATTTATTATTTATAATTCATATTTTCTATTAATAAATTTTTTAATAAAACTTATTTTTTAATTAATTTTTATTTTTTAAATAATTTTAATGTATAACAACAATAACAAAACAACAATTAAAATATAACAAAACTAACTAACAATTGGTTAACTGATATATTGCTCTTCAGTCGTGATTCTATTATAAAGCAGGTGGTAAGTATTGACTTAAAGGAGTGTCGTCACCACCCTGTATTTGTTTGTAATTGTAACCACCATCGGGTGTAGCACCATCCAATGAACCAATAATGTTAGTCACTGGAGCCTCACCTTCATCGGAGTATTCACTGGTACCGCCCAAGCGATCATATTGATCTGTAATTTTTTAGATTTTATATTATTAATCTCATATATAATATGTCTTTACTTGAAATTACCTTGAATTTCCTTCTGTGCTGCTATAGCCTCGTCCGGTGTCTTGTATTTGATGAAGTAAATTTCAGGTTTGCTTGGCGGTGTGGGCGGTGGTGTAGCAATATCATTAACATCCAAGTCGTTATCCTTCTTGCTAAGCACATAGATGACAGTCTTCTCCTCCTGTGGTGCATACTCAGCAGATAATTTGACATTGTTATTATCACCGCTTGGCGCTTTGATGAAGACGACGCGATAATTCTTTTGGGGGCGTCCAATGACTAAATGTTTATTTTTGCCTATTCCATCGCGATCTTCAGGTGCAGAAATCAAATAGAATTGTTTGTGAACTAAGGGTGCAGCTGTTGTGGTGGCTGGTGGCAGATATTTATTATCACTTCCGCGAAATCCTTTGTTCGGTGCATAGCCGTAACCGAATTGTGGCGCTGCTGCTGACAACGTTACTATAGCGGCAAAAACGATTAATAAACGCATTTTAATTTATTTGTTTCAAAATTAATTTTTGTTTATTTCTTGCACTTATTTAATTTATTTTTTTTTTTTAGAGATTTTTAGAGTTAAAATCTGATCTGTTGTTAATTGTTGAAGCGTTAAACTTGCACTGTATACTCTGACTTCATTGCAAAAACGATTTATATGCGAAATGCTTGAATTATTTAATAAAATATTTAAGTCAATGCAAAATTAGATGACTGTGTTACCATTTTTGCAAATAATGCTAAAATCTATATGCAGATACACTGATATCTGATATACATTTCATGCTGTTTTTTTTCCATTCGCTTTTTAGCCCAGTTTTAAAAGATTTTTACTGTTGTATCTCAGTTGACAATTCTTTTGTTTTTGTATTGAATTTTGATTTATGGCCATTTCATTCAAATGCTTCATACAAGTTTGTTTAGCATATTTTTAAGCGTCTTCAAATTGTTAACAGTTGAATTGTTTATATTAAAAAAATATGAAAAAATATTGTTTTTTTTTGTAAATAATATTAAAGTATAATGATACCATATAATACACTATTATATTACATATAATAACATTATTTTGATTTATTATAAAATTTTAATTCATTACAGATTTAAGCCAAGTTTATCTTTTATCCAAATCTTTAAATTTTTGCAGTGTATAACCCTCGGAAAAGATTAAATTTTTGGCTATCAACGTCATTTTTAGTGTTAACAAACTAAAGTTAAAACAAAAACAAAATTAAAAATTAATAGAAGTGTTAACGAATTTATTTCCTCTAAATTTAGTAAATCTATGTTGTGATCTGTGATCTGCGCTTCGTAATAAAAATTTGGAGACGTTGCATTTTAATTGCCAATTAACGTATTATCTTTAGATCATTTTAATTTAATTTTTAATTATCTCAACCAGTGTTCAAATCGTTAAATTTAGACAAATTTCATGCCTACTCATTAACGTTTTCTTATAGATCGATCCATTGAGCATTTCGAACTTTTTTTGGTGTTAAATTACCAATAAAATAAATTTAGGCTTTTTCAATGGGAAACTCCGTCCAATAAGTCGGTCAGAAGAGTTTAGTCATAAACGCTTTTATTATCTATTTTTGTATATTTGACCTTTCTTATTATGTGTGATTGTGGGCTTTATTAGCTATAAGAAAATTATGGACTTTGGTTGTTTGTCGGGCAGCGGCTGTCGTTAAAAAATAAATTAAATTTTGCATAAAACTAAAACAAAAAAAAAATTTCTTTTTATTTCTTAATATAAAAAGAATAAATTTTATATAATAAAAATAACGTATTAATTATTTTTATTTTATTATATTCATTTTATTTCTCTTTTGAATCATAAAATGGTATGTTAATGATTCAGTTTATAAGCCAACAATTTTTTTTATAGATTTATAACTTAAATATTTACAATAAAAATAAATTTTAACGTACAGGGTGTTGATTCGGAATAAAACAATAGAAATATGTGATATGATTCTATGGTACATGAAATAAAAAAAAATTACGTAGGAAACGGAGATACATTTTCATTAGAAAAGTTTATCCCGAAAACAACTTTAAATTAAAAAGTTTTTCGTTACTTTGACTTTAGAATCAACTCCCACATTTATGTTACTTTCATACGTCGAACCCTGTATATTCTATATTCTATACAAATAACTGTTTTGATATGTATTAGTTTATGTTCAAATAGATAATTTTGTTACTCATGGTTATAAAACCATGGGTGTCTTGGCGTTAAAGTTATAAAAATAAGTAGATGTGGTTTAATGACTAAATTATCTCAATGGTTAACGAAATATTTTGCACTGTATACACTTAAATTTTAAATATAGTATATATGAGTTGTCAAAAACAATCATCACTCAAATTATTTAACTTCCTTAAAATCTAGGAAAATGTGTCACAATTATTGTGACTGTATAGGGACTAGTCCCTATACAGTTTTTTAGTTTTTCTACTAATTCTTTAAGATCACCACTTGTTCTGCCGCTCCATTTACCAGATTAGTACGATTTTTTTTATATGATAGTTTTATATGACATTTTATATGTTAATTTTATATGAAATATTCATCCTAAAAATAATTTTCTTGAAATCAATTCTGCTCAGATTTTATATAAGAAGAATACTACAGGCAATAACAGAGTAACTGGTCTTTTGTGCTACAAACCGACATTAACAGAAAACATTTAGACATTGGAGCTCCCAATCTAATATCTTTAGCTTATTCCAGTTCAAAGTCGGATAGTCACAAAAATGTAAGGAGAAGTCACATCTAATTTATTCATGCAGCTGACACTATCTGCTTAGATAAATGACCCGTCGGATATATTTCCGTCAACCTCAGTTTTACTCCACTAAGGACGGACGGTTTACCGTTACTGTAAGATCCAACAAGCTGCTTAGCTTTACAGTTACCTAAAGTGTCACATGAATAGAGACTTTAATACAGTTTTCTATTAGAGATTTTGTTGTTGAAGAAAATATTTTATAATAAGGATCCGGTCGACAGAGTTGAATGTTATATCTAGATTAATAAAGTTCAATAATTTATATTTCATTTTATTAATGACAAATTAAGTCTCCGGGATAAAAGAAAAGTACGTTCAGCTACAAACTGAATTAGAAACGTATTTATCTACGATGAAGACACTGGTCATGTAGCAGGAGTTTTTGATATAATCTATAGGAGCGTTACTGATATGAAATTGCAGTGGCTAATTTGGAAAAATTGTATTTGTAGTACAAATTTGTTTTATACCCACAAACTATCACGAATCTATTAAACTTTTATAGAGTTTTTAATAATAGTAAACATAAAACAATATTTATTTATTTTCTACGTTAATTACAAATAAAATGAAAGAACATAAATCTGCTTACTATATATTATTTATATAATCAATAATTTTTTATTCCTCTAATAAGAAGTTACACTCTACTCCTAAAATAGTATAGAATTTTCCTATTTCAGGGTGTTGCTCCTTTGCACAGAATTGCATCTATATCTATTTCTTATTTTTATTTAGCAGTTTTGGTTGGTTTAGTTAGATCTTTTATAGGAGTATAATGTCAGCATTGCTTAAAGGTGAATGACACGTCTAGTCACATTCTTTGTGATTGTCTGTCTTTGAACACGACCGGAAAAAGAATGCGGGGCTGGAAACATGTATATAAAAAAATTCTAAACGGAAGTCACTTTAGTCTTTATGAGAACAACGGAGTGCCTTATTTTGGATTAGAGTTGGTAGTACATAATGTTTGTTATGTTCGCCCCGTTCCGCTCCATTGGGATTCTAGATTAGAAAATTTTTTATCAATATTCTCTCTGATTTTATGATCAGGATATTCCCTTATTGTGAGATTCTAAAAACAATTTAGGGGAATAGTATTTTATTTTGGTCGATTTGCACTTTTTTCTTGTCTACTTCCATGTGTAAGAAAAGGATAAACATACTTTATGTGTTTGTGTTTTTCATTTGAGTTCTTGATTTGTGTCACCATTAAGATTATTATGATTATGATATAATTATGAAATTTTATGTATCAACTAGTATCCTTAAAAATATATAGAAAAAAAGTTAGAAATGTGTCTTGTTTAAATATGCAAATATTTTTTATTTCCTTTAATGTATTTTGATTATAAAATAGATAGGGATTTTCTACACAGCAGTGATAAATGAATGATTATATATATATGGCAATTGTATTTAGTATAAACAACCAACTTAAAACTAAATAACATAGTTTAAAAAATGACTATAATTCTCAGTCAGTAGGAATATCAACAGCAACAATAAAAAAATCAATAATTTTTATTTTGATTAAAATAAAAATTTTGATTAATGTTTAAAGAACGATGGCAAGTATTGGCTGCTTGGTGCAATTGGTTCTGACAGATCAGCGCTTCCGCTATTAACTGGGCGGTAGTTGTAGCTACCATCTCCGTTGAGACTGTCTAGGGAACCAATTACAGATGTTACGGGAGCAGTGCCTTCATCGGAAAATTCATTGGTGCCACCCAATTTGTCATATTGGCCTGAAAAATAATTATATATAAATTTTAGGAAACAACAAAAGATCGATAGGATATAAAGTAGTCTTACCTTGAATTTCTTTCTGTGCTTGTTGTGCCTCATCATCGGTTTTATATTTAATGAAGAACACTTCTGGTTTGCTTGGTTGTGTTGGTGGTGGAGTAGCAATATCATTAGCATCCAAATCATTATCCTTTTTACTGAGTACATAAATGACAGTTTTTTCCTCTTGTGGTGCAAATTCAGCAGAGTATTTAACATTGCCATTATCTGAACCTGGTGCTTTAATGAAAACAACGCGATAGTTACGTTGTGGGCGGCCTAAAACGAGGTGTTTCTGTTTGCCTTTATTGCCGTTATCCTCGGGTGCAGATATTACATAGAACTGTTTATGCACAATAGGTGCTGGGGTCGTTGTCGCTGGAGGCAAATACTTTTCACCGCCATTACCATGACGATTTACACCATTAGAACCGTTGTCAACGTTAGCGATGTGACCGGGAATGGGTTGTTCGTAACCGTACTGGGGAGCAGCGTAACCGACGGACAAAATAACCGATAGGACAATAAAGAAACGCATTTTGAAAATTCGTTATGCTTGTAAAGGATATACACTAATTATTTAATAGATAATAGAGATTTTTTTTTTGATTATTTATTCACTTATATATCCTTTTTATATATATCCACACAATTTTAGATTTTCACAATATTTTTATATTAAATTTGTTTTTTTATTTGATTTTGTAATTTTTGTGAGGGAAAACACTTCTTTGTTAATCGGTTCGTTTTTGTTCACTGCACATGACATCCATTGGTCCACTTACCTTTTATACTGAAGGCATAAAGTTACTTGACCGCTGCTCAATCGAGTTTATTTTCATTTTATGCTAATTTCTATGCCTAAAATTTTAAATAAAATATTTTGTAGGCTCAAAAAGTCTATTTTTCTTGTCATTGTTGTTGATATGACAATTTTTTTTGGCTTGATTGTTGTTGTTTATTGTACGGAATGAGTTAAATAGTTGCAAGCTCAAGTGTCACACTGAGTTAAACTAGGCTTGGTTTTTTGCTCATTAAATTAATCATGTTTTCTACATATATTGTATTATATATATATATATATTATATATATATTGTTTTATATATATGGAATTTTTAAATTGATGATTTTAGTAACTCGTGAATATAGCCAAGCATATTTCTTTGTTGTGGTTTAATCTCGAGTTTGACCCAAAATTTATTCAAATTCAAATTGCAAAAATTTAACTAATAAATTGATTTTTTGTAGGCATTCAGTTTTATGCGATAATAGATTATTTTGGTAAAAAGATATTTTAATATAATGAAATGTTGCAGGTAAAGAGTTGTCTTTTTTTTTTTATAAATTTAAACACTCTTTTGTCTTAGTTCCTCGAAGAAAATACCGTTATATATTTACTGCAGATAAAGTGCAGAATGATTAGCTCGATTTAACTAATATAAAAGAGATAAAAGCTAGAAAAAAGTTATTTATGTACTAATATATTAAACAAGTGTGTATATATGAATCTCCCTTCATTTTAGCTGCTAATTTCTTACAGGTTTAATTTAATTCTTAGTATTTAAAAAGAATATGTGCTACCGCTAATTTTCTTCGGTGGATTAAGTAACAAACAAGTTCTTTGCAAAAGTATTTCAAAAAATTTAAACACAGAAAGTGTCATAAATAACTTTTAATTATTAAATATATCTTAAGTATTTTAAAAGTATTAATTAAACACAAATGTGAAAGGTAAAATTACGTATATTCACAACTAACTACAACATCTTTTTGTTTGTTTTAGTGAGTCCCAAGCAGATATTCTAGTACCTTCTGCTCAAAATGTACACGGATTTTGTAAATAAAACACACAAATTTAAATTTTATTTCAAATTTATTTTATCTCCTTCAAAATATGTTCCTTCTGAAGCGATATACATATGCCAACGCTTAACCCAATCTTCCATACACTTTTCGTTGGCCCGTGCAGGTCTGGCTTTTAGTTCCTTCAACGAATTCTCTTTTACCGATTCAATCGATTCAAAACGCTTACCACGAAGGGGCAATTTGAGTTTCGAGAACAGGAAAAAGTCGCACTGCGCCAGATCTGGTGGATATGATGCCTGAACGATGACAGTGATGCCATGTTTGGTCAAAAAATCGCGTACAACAAGAATTTTCTATAGTAAAAATCGCTAAATGCACTTGAGGTAGTCTCACATTAACAGCTGCTGTAAATAAACTAATTGACAGATGGCGCTCATATTTGTACCATATGTCAAGAAAGGGTGTACCAACATAACAAAAAAATGTTTGAAAAAGGTCTATTACTTAAGGAGTAGTTAACAAACAACAAAATCCGGTTACTTTTTGAGCAGAAGGTATATAATAGAATAAAGTATAGATATTCAATGGTAAAATGTTTCAAATGTTCTATATTGATAATTATGAAATAGTGAAAGGAAATACTACAAAAATATTAATGTAGGATTGCTTATAGTAAACATCTAATCTAATACTATACAGTAAACTATCGATACAACAAACCATCTAAATAACAAATGACCAAAAACTTTAAAATAACACATATACCAAAAATGTTATTTTGTATAAGTTGATATAAGATAAGTTGAGTAGTAAAGCAATTTGAAGTGCAATCCATATAATTTGGCAATCAGTTTTATTTCGATGAAATGGGATGATTGGAGAGTATTTTCTTCATATTCATTTGGGATCATTTTTGGCAAATTTTTTCTTCAAATTGACTATCGGAGTTTTTAATGAATATTACCTTCTTTTAAAGCGCTTCTTGAAAATTATATGTAGAGTGTCGACCTTGTATCCAAAATCTCACTTGAACTCAAATAATGGCCCATTATGGTACCACAGGAATAAAGTTGGTACTTACATAGGTTGAAAGGTCAGTATACGACCAACTCGTAAAGAGATAACGACTTCATCATTAGATATAGGATGGATATTGATACAGCTAAATATATGCATATGTGTAGTATAATTATTCTTACTAAGAGTTGCGCCTTTGATCGCTTGGGTTAACTTTCATTAATTGCTGTCCATATAATTGATTTGGCTACCATTTGTATCTTATGGAGCAGTTCCTTTTATTGTATAAATGATGTTTTAATGTATAAAAAGCATTTAGAATCATCAACGTGATCTTGCTCTTGATCGAATATTAGCAAATATATATACTATGCCAGAAGATAACATACAATATAACTGAGATATTCTTTTGTTATTACTGTGTAATTCGCTTTTTGTTTGTGAAAACTAAAAAAGTACTTGTATACATTATGTTACAGAGCCACCTCAAGACTTATGAAATCATTTTTTTACATCAAAAGTTATTTCAATCTTTTGCTTTGAATAAATTGAAAATTATTCTATAAAAATTATTGTAACTTGTCAACTAATAGCCGGATTATTGTTAAGTTTTGCACCAGTTTGTATTAAATGAGATAATGAATTAATTACTAATTTACTACTTCAATAATTATTTAAATATTAAAATGAACTACAACCTTAAATTTATGGTACTATAAAAAAAAGTGCTTGGACCAGTGTGTGATTGCTATTTATAAGCATGAAAACTTTAATTTACAGTTGTAGGTTTTCTATTTTGTTTTTAAAACTGATAATTATTTAACGCGAGATAATATATCCCGGATATCAATACAATTTTAATTCTTAATACAGCATGACGCCAATATGGGCTGTTGTTTTCTTTATGTTGTTTACCTATTCTATTCTATTCAACTTTAAAATTTTTCCAATTGACAGTTTAATGTTTGGATACAAGTACTAGTCCAGTAATGTAATACTGGACGTAGAGGGCGTAATACTTACCACTAAATAATTACACATTGTCTTCAGTTCTATTGATAAAGTTCTATATTTTGAAATCTTTGTCTATTTGCCTAATATTATAATTTTAGTGAGTATTTGTTAGTTTCTAGATATTTTTTTTTCCAAAATATAGGGTTTTGGTTAGGCTTTGAAGAACAGAGACTCTTTGATATTTGTAAGAATGTAAGTGAAAAGGCCATTGGCAGGCCATTAAAACAAAGCCACTGTATACACGTATGAAGTGTTTTATTGGTTTTATATATATTATATATATTATGTATATTATCAACATTTGTTTGGATAGATTCGTTGATAAAGAATTTGTGAAGGTGTTCTTGTTACCATTATCTTGTCTTGAATTATCATTACAAAGGTTCTAATTTCAGAGAATATTGAAATCTGTGTGAGCTATAACTTTTAGTTTCGTTGATGTGTGATCTACATAAAATTTGTGTAGATTGGTGTTAATTTTGGGTTTATAGTTTGGTTGATATGTGTGTGGTCTATACAAATTTCATGTAGATGAGCTTATTGATTGATCTACACAATTGATAAGTAGAATATTTTAAATAAGATTTAGCAGTGTAAATCTATGAGCAAATAGTGTCGTAGAGTGATAAGAAAGAATAATCAATATTTTTATAAATCTTCATTGTTGTTTTTTGAATAGCTTATGCAGTAAAGCTTTGAATAACCAATCAATATCAATTAAGACACTTATAGTAGCTGATTATTTTTATAACTAGAAGGGACAATTATGACCTATAAGAACTTTCTTTAGAGAGAACCAACTATCATACTCTATTGTTACATTATATTTTCTTAGTTCCATTTTTGGCTATACTTCGATTCCTATTGAAAATATATTAGAAAGATTATTTTTTAATCAGTTACGGAATTATACTAAATGTAAGCTGTTTAATATATTGAAAGAGTGACATTCCCTTTCTCGACATTGAACTTGAGTTTGCAGACCTTGTGTTTCGGACTTAAAAACAACTTCAAGGGATGCCGCCTGCCATTGATCATAGCGACATCAAGCAAAACGACTAATGCAAAAAATTTTTAAAAATATTTTTTTTTTTATTGTATTAACACATTATCTTTCGCGGTTTTAAATCTTCAAAAATATTTGCAAACATCGCGGAATCTCAGATATACGAATAAAAATGTGGATACAATTCAACGGCTTCGCTTTAATTTAGTTTTTGTTACTATAAATTTTACGGCTGTGATTTTGGCGCATAATTTAGTCATTATACAAATTAGACTAAATTAAAGAAAGATGCAAAATTTATGCGAAGCATTTAGCAAATTAAATATTTTTTTGCTTTATTTTTTATTTACTTAATTTATGAAACATCTACCACCCGCATGGGAAAATCCCATTCTTAAAATATCTATTTTAAGCCATCCATTTTTTTGAAGTCTATCTTCAAATAATTTAATTTATATGCAAATAAAAAAAAACTTATCATGATCAGTGCATTTCTTCAGTTAATTATTTCCCTCTTGCCTAAAAGTTCAGTTGGTGTTGGTATATTTTTGGTTGCTACGCTTGCATTTTGACCAAAGAAGTAAATTGTTTTTAATAAAAATTTTATTTAATTTTTGTTTTTACTAAATTTAAATATTAAGTCTCTAATATTATAATTTATGTGCTTTGAACGAGTTTATTTTTTTTCTTCTTAATATCAATCGGTAATTCGATGTTTCTCAAATGAAATCTCCGATAACCATATATGACGTGGGCAATGTCTTGTTAATGGCATTGAGACAAAATTAGCTACAAGGACTCTTCGTAAATTCCAATTAAATTAGTTAGATAAGCTTAGTTTATGTAGCATTTTAAAATAATCTCAAATGCGGAGATAAGTTTATTTGAATTAACATTAGTTTCGGTATTGTGAAATAGAAAAATATTCCTCATCTACTATATTCTTTCTAGATAAAAGCTTATATTAATTTGAATTGAATTGAATTGATGAATCTTACAAAGTAAATTCACAAGTAATTCAAATTATTTTCAGGGTAATCTTTTTACTCTGACACAATATCCAGAGTGTTATAAATTATTCTAAAGTGTTATACTTTAATCTCGAGTATTATGCAGATTTACCAATCTAAAACGAAAATTGCACTAAGAGTGTATCTCGATTATTAAAGTTACCACAGATTTACCAATCGCAAACAAAAATTGCACTAAAAGTGAATCTAGTTTAAAAAAGTTACCCCAGCTTTACCAAATGAAAACCACATTAGTCACTCAGATCACTTTTGTAATATACCGAGATTATAAACAGTAATTGACATAGTTATTCTTTTCATTTATTTTAAGAATATTAGGTTCATAATTCTGCTAAGAAGGAAATAATATGTTAAGTAACATTGAAGATTTAAAATTAGTGACCTCTAAGAAGGAAATATTAAGTAACATTGAAGATTCAAAATTAGTGACCTCCGCCTTTGGACCAAGGTGTACGGCACTGTATTGCGTATATAATACTTTAAAAAATACTTAAATGTTAATAATCATTTAGAAAAACATGGATTTAGCTTATACGGTTTTATAAAGATTCATAAAAAGCTATATATACAAGGTCTGTTCTAAAGTAAAGGGATGGTTGTAAAAATATTTTAAAAAAAAGATGTTTGCTAAAATTAATTAAAAATGAAATTTTTAGTGAAAAAATCGGTTAGAAGTATCAATCGATAACATGACAAGTTATTGTGCAACATAAGTCAAGTTTCAAAACTCTTTGATAAAATCGTCTATTATGGTTTAGATCGATGGAAAGAACTAATAGCGTGGAATACTCTGCTCTTTATATTGTACGTACATTGGCATTTTTAGACTAAATTTTGTGCTTTTGACTATTATTTTATCTTCTACTCAGATTATAGTACACCTTGTTTGTATGGTGTAAAACTCAACTTTTTCTTATTATGTGATGGTTATAGACACACTCTTATAACATTAAAAAATTGTGTAGACACATACTGGAAAAAACTATTACAAACTACAAAAGCATATACAAGAAGTAATTCGGTTGGTTACCCTATCATACAAACAGTATGATAAACATTCCACTTTCAGTATTGGAATATAATTCTCAGAAAATATTTCCGGAAAATATGGTGACGCGGGTCTATATTTAACAAACAGCTGTCATGTGTAGCCAACCAGATGTGTAAAAAGAAGTAGTAATCTGGCTGGATAGGTCACTTAGTATATAAATCATATGATAAGAAGCATTTTCACAATAGCATTAGCCATTATAATAAGGTTCCAGTTTTGAATATGTTTTGTTGGATATTTATAATTAAGGAAAAGCGTTGTTAAATAATATATCATATTAGTGTGAATAAGCAGTAACTTCGCTGAAGAGACTACTTATTATTTATATCTATGCTATTTTTGAATAAATATTGACGTATGTGAATAACACACTAGTTGACTTTATACAAACAGTAATCCGGCTGGATAGGTCACTTAGTATATAAATCCTATGACAACAAGCGTTACAATGGAGTTCCTATTTTTGAATAAAATCGACACATGTGAATACCAAACCAGACGAGTATAGACAAGCAACAACCCGGATGTATGGGCTATACACTATTGAAATCGTTTGATAACAATACACCTACATTGTATTCTCAGGGTACTGAAGATACTCAGGTATACGAGCTCCACTGTAAATATTGTGGGGAAGTGTAAATATCAGGCCAAACTTACAAAGTCCTGTGAATACCAAACCAGACGAGTATACACAAGCAACAACCCGGATGGATGGGCTATACACTATTGAAGTCGTTTGATAACAATCCACTTACATTGTATTCTCAGAATAATGAAGATACTCAGGCACACGAGCTCAACTGTAAATATTGTGGGAAAGTGTAAATATCGCGCCAAATTTACAAATCGAGTCCTAGTTTGATATATCTCATATAAATAAAATATAAATAATGATTACTCAGTGAAACTAACTAAAAAACCTAAGTGTTTTAAGCTTCTGATAGCAGTACAGCATGACTGATCATAGTCTGATCATAGCTATACTAATACATAGTTTTACTGATCATATGATATTATTGCTTTTTTTTAACTAATATAATTGTAATTTGAGTACACAATTACACTGAAAAAAAAATAAAGCTCAATCCTAAATAATAATTTCTAGCAGCACTTTTTGATTAATGACAGAACATAAAACTCGAACATTAATAAATGCGTGAACGCGTTAAAAACAACATTTTAATAAAAACATCTTCATTTTCATAATAAATAATCGGAGAGGTTTTATTACCGCACGCATTTTTTAAAACAATATTTTAGCTTGAGACGAAACTAAATTCGTATCGGCTCAGATCTATCTACTTGCTTGAGGTTAATATAGATATTAAGCGCATCTTATTTATGTTCGTGTGACAGAATTAACAATTTATAATGATCAATTAGGAATTCATTAATTGATACGATCTTACGAGCATAAGCGCGGCGGCTTATAAAATTTATGTAAAATTTTATGAACATTGACAGATTTTATATTTTTTGTTGCTCGACATTAACATAAACATTATGATTTTGCAATTTAATTGGAATCGTTTTGTGGGTGAGAAGAAGTCATAAAATTTATATTTTTATGCATTTTCTCATACGAGAATCATATTCGAATAATTACAGAAGAAGATTTTGAAACCAGCATTTATAGTTTAAAATTTTTATTATTTACACAAGAAAAACAAGAGGATTAATTTTACAAAACAATAATCATAAAGTCGTTATAATGTATGAATGGATTTCTATGCATTATTCTGAGCAACCGATCTTTGCAGAATAAACCACTTTAGCCGCATTCAACTTTATTTATGTTGAGCAGGCAAGTAAGTTTGTTGAGTATTATCACCAGTATGAGGAATATTTATAGCACCGAAATTTTGTGATGGTTGAGTATCGAAATCAGTTGAACCGCCAAATGAGCCACCGAGTGAACCACCGGTACCGCCAAGAGAACCAATTGATATGGTTGAACCGCCACCATTACCACCGAAAGATCCACCTCCAAGTGATCCTCCTCCATTACCACCAGCAGATCCGCCATTTCCTGAATCACCTAAGCTGCCAATGACTGAGGAGACAGGTACTGTGCCAGCATCAACAAGGTCACTGCTTCCACCAAGAGCATCATATTGAGCTGTTAAAAAATGCCAAAAAATTAGAATAAAAATAAATGAAATATAATTAGCCTTTGTAGCAGTTTGAGTTAATTCTACCTTGAATGGTGTGTTGTGCATGTACAGCTTCTTGTGGGGTCTTGTATTTAATGAAGAATACATCTGGTTTATTGTTAACTGGTGCTGGTGTAACAACTTCAGCGCTAACATCCAATTCATTGGATTTCTTAGAAAGTACATAAATGGCAGTCTTATCTTCAACTGGTGCAACGTTAGCAATAATCTTGGCTTTCGCTGCAGATGAGGATGGTGCATTAATGAAGACAACGCGATAGTTTTGTTGAGGACGGCCAACATTGACATAGCGTACAATTTGTTGTTCATCATGATCTTCTGGTGCTGAGTGTACATAGAAATGCTTTGTTACAATTGGTGGCTGGTTGTTTTGTATATGACCAAGGAAAGCTTCTTGGCCGCCAGATGAACCACCATTATAACCACCAAATGAACCACCAGATGATCCACCAGATGAACTGCCGCCAAAACCACCTAAGGAGAGGCCAGAAGAACCACCAGAAGAGCTACCGCCAAAACCGCCTAATGAGAGACCAGAATTACCACCACCAAGACCTCCAGAAGAGAAACCGATACTTCCACTTTGTCCAATAGCGGGAGCGGCATTGAAGTATGATGTTCCAGAAGCTACGGGTGAGTAGGAGGAGCTTGAGCTGATTGAAGTTGGGGCTTGCAGAAAACCTCCACCACCACTGCTGTGGCCTGCATTGTAACGATAGCCATGACTGAGATCTGGACGTGCATTGGCTGAGCTTAGCAATACGCAAGCCAAAATTACAACCTTGAAAAATTAAATTTTGTTAAAATATGCACTGCTTAAAATGATTGGTCTGTTTGATGAAGTCAAACATTATTAGTTGAGCACGACATCTGTTAGATTAGAACTGGGATAATAATATAGAGAAAATCACTTCTTTTTTATTGTCATTTAAAATCATTTTCTTTCACTTGTCTTCAATGATTTGGTTTGCACTTTGTGACATTAGCTCCTTTTGTTCTCTTCACAAAACTCTCCATTAGTTTGATGTTTGCAGTTATATGTAGTATATTTATCCTTTTAAGTTTTTACACTTACCACAAATTTATTCATGCTAAGGCTTGTTTTATTAAAAATAAATTTATTGGAACTATTGGTTTCCCACTAACTGTCCACTTGTGTTCACAAAACAGAAGTGATTGATTTCAGTTTGACGATTGATTGATTATATATGAAAATATCTAAAACTATAAAAATCTTAAAAATTAATATAAATGATCAAAAACAATATTATGCCAACATTAATTAAAACTAATTAAAGAAATTTCAAAACCCTAGACGACATATTGCAATAAATCGATAACTAAAACGAACTATAACACAAAATCCGGCTATGATAAATTTGAAGTTAGGTGCTAATTTTTTTAGTGAAGTGTAGAAATGATACTATAAAAAAATCATGTGGTACCAGCAAACACTGAGATTGCAGCTACTAAGCCAAGAATTAAATACTTCAGAAAGTTTAATATACAATACAAATTGTTTAAAAGGTTTATGGTATCACCAAAATTTTCAAAAAATTTGTTACACTCTTATTTTTTTTTACAGCTTTGTACCAGGGAAGTTTCAATTGCTTTTTGTTTTTTTTGTTATAAACAATTAAAATATAAAATTAATAAAACATTGGCCTTGAACTGTTAGATATTATCAATAAAGAGTAACAATGAAGCTTAACTATCGAATGGAAGAACACGTCTTCATTAAACAGTTTATCTATAGATATGAGTATCAATCGCAATAAATTACATTAAATATAATTGTAGGATGCATGATCCTACATATCTATATCTCCATATTAATAACATTTGAGAGAGGATTATTTTAAAAAATTTTGTGAAAATATTGAATGTATTTAGCGGAAATACTAAAAGTCTTAATTGACTTATTTCACTGCAGCTAATAAAATAAATTGACGTAAGAAAAAGTTAGATTACTATACATATAAAAACAGATTGTTTGCAAGCACTAGAAGAGTACTTGAAGTTTCGGAAATTTATTCTAAGTTTTTCATCTCAAGTAGTTGAGATTCAGAAAAAATATACTATTCTTTGTATAATGGCCTGGAAACTGGAATCATTCCTGAAGAAGTCTGTTTAATTTGCTTTGTTTATAAGTATTATCGAAATTTAGATCTTTTGGATTCGCTTAAGTTATCCAGAGGTAGTATGTATTCGAAAATATAATATTCAATTTATTCATAATTTTGTTTGAATAATATTTTATTGCTCATTGTAGCTTAGTGTACTCATTAAAAAGGACCGCGGTAACGCTGCACTTCAGAGAAACTGTGTATTCCTTTTAATATTAATTGTAAAAGTTCTATAAAACTTGCAGGAAGAAGAAACAATTAAACATTTTCTATGTCATCACCCAGGTGTGATTTCCAGAACAAAGTACTGGAAATTGTTCTAAACTTGTAAGCAAACTTTTTAGAGTCGATAAATACAAAAGATTTGTTAAATTAAATCATTTCAACGGGTTTAATAAAAATTGTTATAAAATCTGCTTCATTCTACAGGATTGCAGTGTGTCCAGGCATAAGTGTCTGAGTTCAATTCAATCTACAGAAGTGTGTATTTGCACTCTGACATTATATATCAGTATAGCCACTCTGTACACATTACAGAGTAAGAGGACAGAAAATCGCACAAACAGTAAAGCTTACTAATTACTTTGCTTAAGAGTGTTCAAAGGGTTCTCAAGGTCAGGTCTTAAGGTCTCGAAGGATAGCTAGCTATCCGTAGAGCTTTCAGATTCTCGAAGAATATGTAGCTATCCAAAGAGCTTTCAATGTCTTGAAGGATATGTAGCTATCCAGAGAACTCTCAAGCTTTCGAAGGATAGGTAGCTATCCAGAGAGCTCTCAAGGTCTCGCAGGATAGTTAGCTATCCAATGAGCTTTCAAGTTCTCGCAGGATAGTTAGCTATCTAGTAATAAGTTGAAAATGATTCTAGTGTACTTTTTGTGTCATATAGGCATTTTACAATGAATAAACAAATATTTATACATGTTTTCAAATTTTATTTTTTAAATTCTTTTCGATTCTTGAATTTACTTTTCCTAATCGTTTCTCTTTGTTTTGTTATACACTAAATAATACATTTTTTTAGGGTTTCTTAGATTTTGGAGAAATTTTTATTAAAACTAACTGGAATTTCTTTATAGTTTATCAGACTTTTATTTGAATATTGCAATTACTCTTCAATAAAAAGTTAAATATTGATTGAACTCAATGTCTATAAAAACTAAGTTTTCTATTACTGAAAATTTTAAGTTTATTTTTAGTCATTATTTTCATCTCTTCTTCTTCTCCTTCTTCTTCTTCTCCTTCTTCTTCTTCTCTTTCTTCTTCTTCTCCTTCTTCTTCTTCTCCTTCTTCTTCTTCTACACTTCTTCTCCACACAGAATTACAAACAGTTTAAAATAAGATTATTTAAATTTATAGTTAAAAGTTTTGTAAAAATCAGAAAATTTATTTTATTTATTATTTGGAATATTTCAGTCACTTCCCTCGTAACATAAAAAAGTACCTAAAAATAAGGTGTTAAATATTACTTAATTAGTATCTCAACATTTCCACTTAAAACTTTATTTCATTATTTGATAATCATAATTTATTTTATAGGAAAACCCAAATGGAGTTTATTAAATTCCATAAAAGTTCAATGTTTTTTAATTAAATTAGCGAAAAATTTCATAATACTTTATGCAATATTTAAAATTGATTGCAGCCAGTTCCAGTTTTAGTTCCTTGTTATAAATAAAATACTTTTGTTGTTAGGCATATATTTTATATTTTATTATTATAAACGTTTATCATTTAAATTCAAAAATTGTTTATTTTAGATGGTTGGCTAACATTTCGCGATTCGAATCGTCTAGTTCAGAGCTGGGAGTATCGAAAGGCTCTAGTGCATTTACAGACAATTTACGGCATATTTCCGTATTATAAAATCAGTATAGAAAATCGGTGAGTCAATAAATTTTATTATTGTATAAAACATATTATTTATTATTCATTAATTGATTCGTATTACTTTTTGTATTTTTGCAGGTTTAAAGAACCTCGAGATTATATTATTGTTCTGGATGAAGGTGAACTGGGCTTGCCTGACAAATATTTTTATAATATTGATCAAAATGATGAGGTCAGTTTTTTTAAAAATATATTTATTAATACATTTATTAAAATTTATTGAAGTAAGTTTTTTTTAATAATTTAACTATTTTTATAATTTTTGCCAATGATATTAATTATTTAAAGACTTTATAATTTTTTGTTTTATTAAATTTTGTTGTCAGATTCAACAAAATTCATTTAATTAAATACGTTTAAAAGATTCCTAAAGCTGTATTCTGGCAACAGAGTATTTTCACTCTGACATAGGTATAATTATTTGTCATTGAACTTATAAATTTCTCTTTGTTCTTATTAGGATAGGTTATACCGGCGATACACTTAGACCTATTTGCCCATTTAGCGTAGCTCAAAATACTGCTTAATGGGAGGTCTTGTCATTGATCAAGATCCTCAAGAAAGAGAGGTTGTAACGTATTGAGTCACCGCAGTGCATGAGCTGGGCAAAGACAAAGTAGATGAGAGGCACTCTCATCGTCTTCCCCACAGCTGTGACAGTTATATTTGAAAGGGAGATTTAATCTTCTAGCATGGTACCCTAGTTTTTTTCATATTTTTTTAATATAATGTAGAAATAAATATAATAAACCATTTAGTTGAACTGTATATCAGAAAGCAATAAGAGACGAATTAAAGTGTTCTTACTCCATGTGTTGAGAATAATTTACAGAGCACAGAAGAAATAGTTTCCATATTTCTAACAGAAACATATATATGTTACAATCTTTAAAACAATTTCTCGCCTAAAACTTGTACAGGGAATGAGGGCAATATCCGTATTACAGCAACAGAAATATTTAATTTAATCACAATTATAGTACATTAAAATTTTAGTCACAATTAGAGAAAAATTGTGACAAAATTCTTACTTATATTATCAGTAAACATTTGTGAGAGAAAGCTCTGTTTTGTAAGAAAGAGCTTATTAAAAATTATGAATAAATTTGAGTTTCCCTTCGGCGTCGGTTGGCTAATAACCAACCAACCAAAGAGGTTCAATCAGGACCTCTCTTCAAAGAGCAGTTTAGGCTTTTCCATAGGTTCAAGATGTTTATGAAACCTCTGAGTTTTTATACGTTAAGACAATAGGTTAATAAGTGGATCGTTAGCATCTCTGGTATAACCGAAGCTAACCTATTCTAGCCAGTATAGACGCTGAGTAAGAATTTCTATATTACGCGGTAGGGATAAATTGCTTCACCTTAATAGTTGTTTTTTCTCCAATTTTCAGTCTATGCCCGTTACAAAGAATACAATTATTTTTTAAATTAGCATTTTAGGTATATATCCATATATTGACCTATCTTTATAATATTTAGATATATTGTTTTTGTGCACTTTTCTTTTTTCAGCTATATTTTCAAATAAAAAAAAAATTGGCAAAAGAAAACTAATATCGACATAAATAAATTGAGAATATTCATCAAACAGTTATCCTAATGGTTTAATGGTTATGAACTTACATAGCACATTTAAGCCCAATATATGCTTATAGCCAACCTCCCAAGGAACTAACTTTGATACATCGTATTAACGTAAATTAACCTATTAAATTTTCATTTCATAATAACTACTAATTTCTATTCATAATACTGCAAACCTACAAGTATCTATATAGATTGTGCATAGTGTCTATTCATTAACCTTGCCCGACTAGTATTCGGTAATTGTATATCTTGTTACGTCTGGAGGTGATCTTTTGCTCTATTTCAAGCTTCCCACACTATTCAAAAACTTTAAATCGAAACATTCCACTAACACAACAACAACAATAAAATAACAAAATATTATTTGTTTAAGAAATGCTTATAAAGATTAATTGATCTATTTTCAGATCATACGTGCATACATTCTGCTCATTCGTGACTTTGCAATTAATATGGGTAAGTTTAAAAATTAAATATTGGCAAATAATTTAACAAAAAATATATTTTTTTAATTCGTTTTTTAGGCGTTGTTACACGTGAAGCGGAACAATTTGCTGATAACGTCTTTCATTATGAGAAACGCATCGTTAGCCATATCGATTCACATGAATCAGCTGAAAGTTCGGATAGATATAATCAAATAACAACTTTAAAATCTTTAAGGACGACAGCGCCTTCTGTAAGTATTAAACATACTGATTTTTGGTTTTTTCAAAGTATATTGTATACTTGATTTAAGTTGTGGATTAACTTTCTTATTGTGTATTACAAAATTATAAGATGTAACATAGGAGTACAAATGCAGAAACTGTATACAAAAACTGTATATAAACAATTTTGCAACAATATTGATGTTGCCTTGTGTAATACATATAGGATTTTTTTTCAATTTACAAAATTCATATAAGTAAATAGTGTGAAATTGTAAAATATACTCTGGATAGAAATGACTGCAAAAGTTATATTTTGTAAGCTAATTATTGATATTACGGTCTTAATATCATCATATGGAATCTCAAATTTGGATATGCCTTCATACAATTTTTTTCTATTTTTCTTTACTACTTATTAGACTTTTATTAAAATTATCAACGGTATGTAGTTTAGAATTTATTCTAACATACTTGCATTAATAAATTTGTCTACATATACAATAATAGTAGTTTACGCATTATAAGTATTATTGTTGAATTTGTCTCAAATAACTCGGTACAGTGCTAATACGTCTCATTTCGTACATCAGTTATTGATACTAATATAACTGATGTATTGCTTATATATAACTTCTTCCTATATTGGAAGTCGGTAAGGCTACAGGTAGTACATATTCGTCCTCAACAACCAGATACCAGGAGCGGCCGAGTCTCCGTCGCGGAACCATTTATTAATTTCGACGATCAAGTGCCGTTTAAGATTCTCAAAGCGAGTTATAACAACAACAACAACAACCATGTATCGCTTATTGTAATAGTGATCTTGTTTTTGTCTCATTGGTTGAATTTTCAAGAGTATAGACTTAAGAGCTACGATAACAACAAAAACCATGTGTCTCTTGTTCCATCTAAATGGGTTGGACAGTCCCTGTTAGAGTGGTGCATGCTGCTTGATCATTGCGATTAAGTACTTTTATTGTCGTTTTTTCTTCGTATTGGAATTCCTTTCATTTTTCTTGCTATATCAAGCTCATGAGTTACAACAACAACAACTAAGTTCCGGTCTTGGTTTCCATAGAATTCCTACCATATAAAGTGAAAGTGATAAAGTGTCTTTTCTACAGAACTCTTCGCGCTACTAGAACACAATTATTTTAATATCAAAACTAATATTATGCGTTTCTTAAGTTAAAAGTTAATAAATTTCGATCTAATGCGTACTAGTAAACTATAACAGACATGTCATCTATTATTAGCAAGCGTTACTTTAAACTAGTCATAAGGACATTTAAATAAATAAAATTAAAATTAAATATCGTCTTTACAATCTAATTTATAATACTAGTATTTTACTTTACAATTATTTTGTTGTCCACAACTTTAAATCATGAAAATGATCTTTTTAGCTTCTAAAGGTCCTAGAAGCCATGACCCTAAGTTAGGAATTTGTCAAAACAAATCCTAACTTTTTAATAAATAAATAAACAATTTTTTTAGTTACCAATTTTGGAGACTTTACAAACTTTATTTCCACGCACAAAAATTACTGAAGATACAGAAGTGTTAGTTCGCGATATTGAAGTGTTTCGTAAACTATCGGTTGTGGTCTCAACGACAGATAAAATGTAAGTAGTAAATGAAAGAATTACAAATTAATTTAAATCAAATTAAATTGTATTAAATTTATTTATAGAGCTATCAATAACTTCATCATCTGGTCTTTGGCTCGTCATTATTTACCTTATTTATCAAAAGAATATCGTAATTTAATTGAGACATTTAATCATGCTGTTTACGGTAAGTATACTATATAGTAGTAGTACGCCCACACACTTGAAACCGAACAAGAGTACTTGAAACCGTAATGCCATCTACAGTTCTACGGAGTACAATAAGTTCACTTTTTACGACTGCCTCTGTGGTTGCCTTACAGTTCTTATTTGGTTTTACATGCAAACCAAGTTTAGTAATGAAATGTGATTGTCATCTGTATCTTGCAGAGGTTTTCAAATTAATAATATTAATTAATACGAATAATATTATTTATATTAATTATAATATTAAATAAATAAAAAAATTATATACTTTTAGGGCGCACTGCAACCTATCCACGTTGGATGTTTTGTACGAAAATTGTTAGAGATTGGCTACCGCTTGTTATTGATGGTTTACAACAAAAACAAACTTTAAGTAAATCCTCACAATCCTTTGACGATGAAGTTAAACGTTCGTATCTAAAAAGCAATAATATTCTAAGCAAAACAGCAGGCAACGATCAATTTTTGAGTTTAATGTTTTATACGCTAATAAATCAATTAAAAGCTTCAATTGATAATGCCAATTGGATTAATGATTCACTGAAAACGTATATAAACGAGAAGGTACATAATAATATTTAAAATTTAATTACAATGTATATAGCATTTTTTTTCTTTATTTAGTTAACTGCTATGCGTTTACAAATTGGTATACCTGAAGAGGCTTTAAGTAACATAAGTTACATCAAAAATTATTACGATCAGTTGCTGTTAAATGATAATTATTTTGTTGAGCACCTTATGTCCATTTGGACTTTCCGTAAAGCACGTATGGAACAGAAGCTTAAAGACGATTTAAATATTGTTGATACGTATGTTCATTAAAAACAATATTTAATTATTAAATTTAATTATTTTATGTGATTTATAGCATTATTGCTGAAATGTATACGCATAAGGAACCCAAAACTATTGCTTATTCCAACAAACTGAATATGTTGATAATATCACGTTCTATAGCTCTGTCGAATTACTATGATTATAGATTTCCGATGTAAGTATTTTAAAAATATATAATTTTAATTTTAAGTATTTAAAATAAAATTAATTTTTTGTATATTTAAAGACCTATTAACTTTGCACGTATTGGTTCCGATATACTTGAAGTATTAATAGACATTTTGCCCATATTTGTGGAACAGTTCAGAGAGAATGAAGATTATTTTACTATTGAAAATTCATCTGAAAAAATTGATATTGGTAAAGTCGATATTGATTGCCTCACTGCTGCTGAGGAAACGCAAGAAGATTTTGAGAAATTATCTAAAACTACAATGAATAGTTTTCATAATACATTAAGTGCAGCTAAAATAAGTGCTAGAGCACTTAGTACATTTATTGAAGCTATTGATGCATCAAATCCTATAATGGGTGCATCAATTGAACCAAAAGTAACATATGAGAATTTACGTTTAACACAGCGTCACCGTTTGCCGGGTTTACGTGCGCTGAATGACAATGAGTTATATACACTAGCTTACATGCAAAAGCACTGTAGTATTTTAATTGCTGACAAAGACTATGCACGTATTAAGCCACATGTGGAACAAACACTGGCAGAGCGACATTTGTAAGTTTTGATATATGCAATATATCTAATGTATAATTAAATTTATGTAAAGTCAAATATGACAAAATACCTATTTTTTCTTTTAATAATTATTTTTTATTTTTAACTGAATTTCAGATTTAATGCAACATGGAATCATATACAATTCTTATCACGCTCTTGGAGCTGTCCAACACCAAAAGCAACTTGCCGTAATATACTTTAAACTTGCAATAAATATAAGTTTTATTTTATAATAAAATTATATTATAAATTATTAAATCCTTATAAGCATATTAGGCTTGAAATATAAATGCAAATGGATATGTGAAAGTATATGTAAGTTTACATAACTGCAAAGTTAGACTTAGTTGAAATTCTTATTGCCAGATATTTTTATTATTAAGTTAGTAAATATTGAATTTTAACTGAAAAATGTATACAAATAAAGTATATCTAGTTTTTAAATATTTTACTTGTTAATTATTTTTTAAATATAGTTTTAATTTTAACTATGAATTAGTAAAACATACACATTTTATATAGATTGTTAAAACAAAATTCAAATAAAATAATAATATAATTTAATAGTATTTAATTTAATTAAATTAGTTTAAGCAATATACTTTTAAGATTAAATAACATAAATGAAAAATAATTAAAATAATATAAATATATTATTATATAAATTATTAATAAAATAAAATAAAATAAAATAAAATTAATAGTTTTTAACTATAGTTCTCGTTTAAATAAACATATAACAAAAATAAAAAATAAAACAACAAAAAATAGGAATTAGTAAAACATACACATTCTATTTAAATTTTAATAAAAATTTTAAACAAAAAATAATATAATGTAACAGTTTTTATTAATAATTTTAATTTAAATAAAAACATAACAAAAAGAAAAAAAAAAGAAACAAACTTTTGAATGAGTAAAACATAAACATTTTGTTTAAACTGTAAAAATTATTTAAAATAATAACTATAAATTAGTTTTTAATTAAAGAAATATATTTTAATATATAAAATATATTTAATTCTAGTTCAAACAAAAACAAAACATTTAATTAATAAAACATACACATTATATTTGATTTGTAAAAATGTTTTTTTATAAAATTATAATATAATTTATTAATTTTTAATTATAATTAGAGTTTAAATAAACACAAAACACACACACAAACAATAAAGCATTTGTACAAATATAATATGTAAATTGTAATTTTTAATTTGTTCATACGCCTTTAGTTTTTTGAGTGTGTGTTCGAAAAGATTTTTTATTTTCGTTTTCGAACGATTTTATTTATTCATGTCAATTACTAGGACTACTTCAGCAGTATTTCATATCTGATTTTCTTGCATGATGCTGTAATCATACTGAAGTATGTTAATTTTAGTTTGTAAGAAATACAAGAGATATTTTATGGGTTTATTTATTTATTATATACATTTTTCCACAGGTTCAGATGAACGTGTTTTTAAAAATCAAAAAGATTTTGACTCCAACAAATTAAAAAATCAAAAAATTTGTTTTAAGTTTGTACATTTCCTCACTAATATGTATCACCATTTTCTATTCGAAATAGATATCTATTTCTATGACAACACATGAAGTAATTTTAACTAAGAATTCGAATATTGAATATATATTAATATAATATATTTCCAAATATATTTATCTCCATAATAAAAATGCTCAGTTTTCTGTGCAATCAAAGCATAGAGTTTGCTTTAAATGTCTAATTAATTGGTTTATATTTATTTCTTTTGAGATCTCCTTTATTTGCTGAAGATAGACAATATAAACGCATAGATATGATATGTAGACCAAAACTCTGTAAATGAGTTCAATCCTTCAATAGAATCTAATATATAAAACATATATATTTTTATAAATGGTTCTGTTAATTTGGCAAACTATAGGACATACATAGACTAATTAGTTATTGTTGTTGTTGTAGCTGATATTTGTTAATATCTAAAAATTTCTTTTTGTTTTGGTTGAAAATAAATTTCTATTTTAAATGATTTTTTTATATATTCTTTATTATTTTTATATTTTTTCGCAGCATTAGTTATTATTAGTATTTAATTTAAATTTATTTATAATTATTTATAATAATATTTAACGATTTATAAAACATTTCTTTTTAGAATCTTAACAACATCTTTTTATATGGTAGATATATATTAATTATATATTATTATACGAAATTATTATAGTTATTATAATTTATTATCATTTACTGTTTGTATTGGCGTATATTACATTTACTGTTTTTCCATTTTCATATATATTTATATTTTAAAAACAAAAATATTTTCTTTTCTTTTGTTGTCTTTTTTGTTTGCTAAATAAAATTAAAATCTAATTAATCTTCACTGGCGTTTAATACTTTAAATATCATTTTATTGTGTATTTAATGAGTTTTCATATTTCTAAATAAATTGAGTTTAATTTTATTTGTTTCTTGTTCTTTCCATTGAATATTTGCAATTGCACATTAATTGATTTGGTATTATTGCAATTTCATTGGAAATTTTAAATTATTGCTGATTTTATCTAATCTTATTTTTTGATCTTTATATATACATATACATATATAGATATATATATATATATATAGTATATATTATATTTAGTTTAGTTTCTATAAATATCATAAGCATTCATTTTGAAATTTTACAAATTTAAATTTTGTATTTGCTGTATTAAAAATTTATTTAAAGTTAAAATTTGTTATTTATTTATATACTTTATTTATACTTTTTAATTGCATTTTCTTTAGGCATTTTGAGCTTATATATTTCATTTATATATAAATATAATTTTATGTAAATAAACAAAAGAAAACAATACATATGTATGTATATATTTTTTAAACTTAACTAAATATTAAATATATTTTTGTGTGTATTTATTTGTTCCAGTCTTTGTTATAAATATAATAAAACTTAAACAACCAAAATGTTTAAATTAAAACAATTTTTTTCTATAAAAATAAAGCAAAGCTCCGATATTTTGTATTATTTTTTTTTTACTTAATAATAAAGATAATATAACTAATTTATTAAGTTTGGCATTTTTTGTTATATTAAAATTCTGCTTTAAACTAATTATTATTGTAAATATTTTTTGACTTCATTAAGTTTTCTTTTTTAAACATTTTAATAAAAAAAGCAGTTTATTAATAATATAATTATTTAGAATTTTTAATTGATTTGAAGTATTTTCGATTTTTTTTTTTGGTAATTTTAATTGAAAACTATTAATTTTTTCGATATGTGTTTTTTATTTAAAATGTAATTATTCTTCATTCGTAAGTAGAAAATAAACTAAGTTTCATAATAAAAATAATATTTAAATTATTGTGGAAAAATAAGAACACAAAAAATATATTTACAAAAAAATAAAAACATGTGTAAAAATGGATAGATGATAAATAAATATTTAAAAAATAAATCAAAACGAAAAAATAAAATAAAAACATAAATAAATAATAAAAAAAAATTATATAAAAAAAAATTATTGTCAATATTAATTAATTATATATTATATAGGATACTTAAAAATAATTTCAAAATATTATGCAAGATTTTTACCCTAAGTTTTAATATTTAATAGATTTTTTAAATGAAAGACAAATGAAAATATTTTTAGTCTCAAGTTAATCATACGACTACATATATAAATGTATCTAAGATTATATGTAGTTTATTAGTGAATATATCATTTTGGCAATAATAATAAAGTGCTTTAAGTATCTGGTTACAACCCTTTTTTATTAAGAATTAAAAGGGTAATCAGAATATTTTCAAATTAAATTTTATTCTGGTTTTATGTAAAGAACGTTTGAATTTCAGAAATAAATCAGAAGTATTTCAATGTTATTCTACAATCGTTTAAAATAAATCGGAAATTGGCATAACAGTAGTAAAACTTTTCTGTTATAAAGAAAATTAAAAAAAAAATTGTTTTTAAAAAAGTATAGCACTGAAATCTAATAACAAAACTGTTATAGTTAATTCAATTATGTATAGCTTAGGTTTATGTGTTCGCCTAAGTGAAGGAACCTAGTCACTTCAATGGGTCAATACTAATGATCGAAACTGCTCTAATGAGTGTACGTGTTAGAACATGAGAACATATTGGTGATGTCTAAGTCTGCATTCCAGATGTACTCAAATGCTAAAGTTCAATACATCTCAAAGAGGTATGTGCATTATGGCAAGAAAATAAATTGGTGATGTCCTGATATGTTCTCAATCTGTATTCCACATATACTCATGTGAAGTACAGTTTCAGTTGCTATACACATTGAGAATTGACGTCAGAAGTAACTGTTTAGTGCGTGCTTGTACTCTAACCTCAACTGGGCTAGGAAAGTTCTTGCGGGACGAAATATATCAGGTAGAATCCTGTTGATATCTTTGATGCTGAGCTCGAAGAGAACATTGCATCGGTATGGAGGGCTTTCAAACCCTCGATTGTACTCAACCCCACTAATGTAAGGTCTGCTGTAATAGGTGTTGTTGTATTAATAAATCGAAAACAATGATCAATGGATGCAGAGTAAAGAGTAAAGATGAGGTCTACTGATAACGTGTCTAAGAGAATATCCAGTCGTGTGGCATGTAAGTAAATATAACTTCGACAAGAGTTGGCTGTACTCTTTTTCAAGAAACATTTTAGACTGCACATGAATATGGTCAACATGTGATGACTAAGTTGCGGAGCTGGGTTTTAGCAACAGAAATCAAATATTGCGTTGAATTAGTCTTGTAAAGCATGGCACGGTGTGTGTGACATCGGTACTTGCCAACTAATTTCTTAATTACGAATAATTCAGTACAAAAAAAATTTCCAAAGATCACTCATAATGGATATTTGATAATATTCAAATTGAGATATTATTTAGCCAGACATTATATTAATAAAAAATTTAATTTTGTAGTAATTCATCCTTTTTTACTATATGTAAGTCATATATAAATAAAAAATTATTTATTTTTTTAGGTTAGTCAATATTCATATGTATTAATGTATTTAATGACATATGACATATAAATAAATATATGTTTATATTTGAAAGAAGAAAATGACAAGTTAATTTTCATGGATTGTTTCTCAGTACGAGAAATGGAAGAGGGAACTCTGAAGAGTTACATTCAAATTATCTTAATTCTTCTATATGCTATATGCTTTGATATAAATAAAAAAATAATGTGTTATAAAATTGTTATTCATTTACATATAGCATATATGGACTGCTAAATAAAAAGAGAGCAGGAAGCTTCTAATTTTTGATATCACAATAATCTACTGATCTTAATGTGACTAACAATTTAAATATTTTCATATTTTCGGGATTAG